AAATCCAATCTCAAAGGTTGTGCAGGAATTAAACATGATCATGTAAGTATGGTGTTTAGCACATTATCTGAAATATAGAAGATGCTTAATAAGTGTTAGCTATTGTAATTGCTCTATTCTTTCAGCTTATTTATTAATATCTACTATGCACTATTTTAAGTAGTGAACAAGACAGAAAAGGTTCCTACTTTCATGGAGCTAGAAAGTGTTCTCCAATTATTTTATATTATTATTGCTTATAATGTTATGTTTATGTATTATTTCAGCCAACCCCACTGTATATTTAAATGGCATGCTGTGCAGAATTGTGGATACAGCCTAATATTTCTTTGTAAGTCAGCTACTCAGTGCCATTTACTTGGTTTAAGAACTTATTTTCTCAGTTTGAGACCCCAACAATGAATAAACCAGGAGAAATATTTTAGTTCCTACTAAATATATACTTAGTACTTTACTAGGATTCTAAGCAGGTTGAAAAGATGGTCACTGCGATAGTGTGGGAAGAAAAGACGAAAGCACTGGAGATAAAAATGAAAGGGAAGAAAAAAAAACCTTACAAGTTAATTAATTGCTAAATTATTTGGTAATGGACAGTAATAATAATGTGATTTACAGGAATATGTGACTGATGTGGTTTGGATAATTTAGGAATTTCATGGAAGGAGATAGAAACCAAACTAAAATCCTGAAGAGTTTGTTTGGTTGGTAAAGATCAAGAGAAGATTCTGGGAGGCCAAAATATAAGTAAATCGCCAAAGTGGAAATAAAGACAACCATTTTGTCATACTCATTTTTATATTGCATGAAGGACAGGACACAACGAGGCCCCAGAAGTGGTTGTTGACTTTAGTACAAGTGAGGAATTAATGGAATGGATGAGAGCCGAGGTTAGGATGGTGGCTGGGGAATCGAGAGGAAGGAAGTAGAAAATACACATTTTGAAGATGGAACCAACAGGACTTACTTACAAGAAAATATTAAAGCCTTTACAATTTTCAAAGTGATTTCACATATGCTGTGTCCTGGCCTAGTATTCTTTCTTACAGCGGCACACAGAATTTGCACCAAGTTCATTAGTGGTTCTTACCCTGTCATCCACGTAACCAATGTCCTCTTATTATGACCAGTATTTTAATGATTGCTTTACTCTCCTATAAATTTGTGTGTGTGTATATATATATAATTTATATATGTAAATATATATAATGTATATAATTTTTATGTATTAAAAATTACATATATATATACACACACACACACACACACACACACACACTTTTTTTAAGAGACAGGGTCTCACTCTTTCGCCCGGGCTGGAGTGCAGTGGTGTGTTCATAGCTCTCTGTAGCCTTACACTCCTGGGCTCAAGCGTTCGTCCTGCTTCAGCCTCCCAAAGTCCTGGGATTACAGGCATATGCCACTATGTCCAGCTGAAATTCATTATTAATGTAACCTACTTGAATACATAATTTTGAAAATGTCAGCATCATGCTTTACTGTAATATAAAGGAAAATTCAACGAATGTGGTTAATGTTAAAACATACATTTCAATATGTAAAAGCCCAGGCATGACCACACCAGAAGACATAATGAAGTGATCAGATATACCTATACATAGAAAGGGACCACTGCAAATGGAGAGGATACAGGTATGCTGTATTAATAGCTCAAATAGCATGGCCTTCAGCAACGTCGTTCTCTAAAATAGTGGGAGACACTTGGTAAAGTTCCAACAAGAACAAAATACAGTCTTCCCTCAGTTACTCAGCACTTACATCCCAAGAGTGCATAAAAACCATGCGAAAATACGTTGATGTATATGTGAAACAGAGTTCGGTTCCATGCTCAAGTGATTTTAAGTACATTTCACCTACAGAAATGGCTAATGGCACTTTGGGAAGTCTTTGGGGTGTGGGACAGCGTTTTCATTGTGCAAGACCAAGGCATTGTGGGACATCTAACATTCCTGGCTCCCAGCCATTCCATGCCAGAGGCATCTCCTTATCATTGTCACAACCAAAAGTGGTTCCAGGATTCCACAGTGGCCCGGAGGGAGCACTCGCAACCTCACTGAGGACCACCAGGCTAGATGTTGGCCTCATGACTCATGGATGGTGACAGGGGAGTTGGCGGTGGGGCAGGGGTCAGATTTGGATGTCGAGTTCAGAAAAGGAGTTGGTTGCGTTGCTTTTTTAGCCAAGGAGAGTCTTCACTTTCTTAAATATTTCAAATCTGGCTTTTCCATCCTGGTAACAGTTTCAAGTTCTGACCCTAGGTGGAAGATAAAATGAAGAAAACACAATATTTTGTAGGAAAAAAAATCAACTCCTATTTTTGTTTGTTTATTTATGTTAAGGGCCAACAGATGTGCTTTAATTCTCTGCCCTCCTTGGTGGCTCACTGATAGGAATGCACTCTGTCTCAGGAGGAGGAACAATCCAGTTCTAACAGGAATTTTTGAAATAGTTCTCAGATTTAATTCTTGTTTTCCTTTAAACTTACAGGTATGATCTTATCTCCTTTTTTTTTCAGTTTTGTAAAGGATGCCATAACGTCCGATTCCTCTTGGTATTTGCATTGTGCACAATCAAATGTTTTGAGCAGATGTGCATGATTGTTTAGTATTAGTGCTCTGCAGGTTGCTTCTGCCTGGGAGTCTTAAAATAAACAAATCAAAAGGACTTGATCCACTTAGAGTACTTCCAGAGGATTTTAAGTCTTGGATTTTTATTTAACAATGACAACAACACCCACACCCCCTTCTTTAACAAATGTGGATGCATTGTATCTCATTTGTATCTCATAGTATCTCATGTATCTCATGTATCTCATGTATCTCATGTATCTCATGTATCTCATGTATCTCATGTATCTCATTGTATCTCATAGTCATTCGGCTCAAAGATACTGGGCATACTTCAAACGCATACTAATTTATGACATTCCAAGAAGATAAATCTGTTTGCAGACTTATTCCAAGACTAAGTTTATTCATTTGCCAATCAGATGCATACTATTCACAGGACAGCAGGTTAGGCATTGTGGGGAAATCAGAAATACTCTGGACCCTTTATGCCCTCAAGGAGCCTACTGTCCAGCAGGGATGATAAAACCTCATGTACATATTATCATAAGTAAGTGGTGAACCTCCGGAAAAGTAAGATGGAGTCCTTATGAAGTCTCTAGGGATTAAATGGTATTTTCCACTGAAGGGGGTGAAATTTGAGGTGGAAGTTTTAACTTGACAACCGTAAAGGTTCATTAACATTTAGACGGGTAAAGTGTGTTAAATTTTGAGGAATGACTTTCTGAGCTAAAATAAATTCAAGTAAGATTTTTTTTTGGTGTTTTTAAGTAATAGGAAATCTGACTTCCCATCACTTATTTGTATGCATTTATTGTCTGAGTGTAATTAAGTGACTTGGAATAATTGGTAATAATTGCTATGAAGAAATCTCATTCAACATTGCTACCTTCCTTAAAAAAAAATCATCTAATTTAAAAGCTGGATCTTTTTTCGAAGCTTTGCTTTTTTCCATTGAAGAAGTCTCTTTCACAACTCCAGATCTTGGGAATACCACTGTGATATTTTAAAACTCTGGAATGTACCTTTAATTGGATTCACAGTAAAGTGCCATCAGATAGAAGACAGACCCGTCACGATCGTGACGTAAAGAGTTCCGTTGCTAACGTAGGAAAGGGTTCTCATTACCAGGTGGGTCCCATGTATTGAACTTGAGGACAACACAGAAACTGAGCCAGAGCCACTCAGGACCCTGTGTGGTTTCTGTGCCCTCCCTATTAGACCACTTGTGTCCCAGGACTTGAATCTAACTGCCTCCTGCTCCCTGGTGCTGGTTCAGACTCACTGTCCATCTCCCAGTGCCCTTGGCTTCTGTCTGTAGCACCTGCTTGTGGGCTGGAGATTTGACTCAGAGCAAGTTAGTCCAGGTGAAATCTTGGCTGAAGTGTCATGCTTGTCAAAACTTAATTACTCTGTGTTGGAAATATTTTCTGTTGGATCTGGCTGGCAGTTACTAAGTATATGTATAAATGTATAAATTTATCAAGGCATACTCTTTAAGATTCGTGCATTTCATGTAAATTATATCCCAATAAAAAATTTAAAAATAATAATAAAAATAAACTCTCCCAGTCACAGAACTATTGCCACTTTTGGTTTATCTTCAGGTGATTAGCAATGATGTATTCATTTTTAAGTATTTAAAAGTAAATTTTCAGAACTTTTAGTGTTTTTCTTTTTCATTTCTTTTAAAATTCTTTTTCAATTAGTTGAAATAACCTAAATAGCCAGTAGTGGAAGATTAGTTGTAAAAACTGTTTGTAATAATTGGCCAAAGAAAGAAAAGTTTTTGAAACAAGAAAAGATGGAAAAAACAAATTTCTGGGAAAAAAGAGTGAAAGTTCTTGTTGCAAAAATATACTTTTAATGCATCTAGATTTCCAGTACATTTAAATACCTAGAATTTGTGGATGCTGATTTTCAACAAAATAATTATTTCAACCAAGTTGTCATATTTACTGATTTGCATTGTCTCATACTTTTCAGCCAATTCTTAAACCAACTTCCTTCCCCCAACAACACACCACACACACACACACTCTCTTTTGGTTAAAATTCAGACCGAAGTCTAGTGCTGAGCAAACAGTAATTGCATAGTAATGTCAAAGTGAACAAAAATAGAACTTACAGGAAAATCTTTACATTTAACTGTGCCTATTAAGGTTCAAACACCGAAAGAAACATTCTCTCCTCAAAAAAGAGCTTTAAAAAAACTGAAATTCGATGCCACTAAATTATAGAATTAAATCTATGAAGCCCAGGGACTGTATGGAAATTAAATTTGGATTTCTTCTCCCCAACAAACCCAGCCAGTCTCCCCATCTAGAATAAATTTACTGATAGGATGCAGTGCTTTTTACCATTATTATTTTTCAAAAAGGTAGACATTTAACATCAACTCTCTTGTTGGAACAGGACAGCTGGGAAGTGGTGGAAGGACTGAGAGGGGAGATGAATTACACCCAGGAGCCACCAGTTCAGAAAGGATTTTTGCTGAAAAAGAGGAAATGGCCCTTAAAAGGCTGGCACAAGGTAAGGTTGTTCTTGGCCTCCCCTTTATTTGCATTCACACTGCCCCACTCAGCACCTGGTTCTTAGGCACTCATATTTAATTTCTAGTTGTAATTTCAGACCAAGAAAAGGGCACCTAAATTGAATGTCTTAATTAATAATACTTTCTTCCCCACAGAGATTCTTCTATCTGGACAAAGGAATCTTGAAATATGCCAAGAGCCACACTGATGTAAGTCTTTTCGTGGGCCCAGTGTGGTATTGGAGAATCCTAAAGGGGTAACCATCAGCTCAGAGATGAGAGTGCGTATAGTTGAGGATAGCTCTTCTCAGAACTGGAAATCATAGAGGGGAATCACTTCTGTCTGAGCTCTGGGTTCCAGGCAGGCTCAGTTCCTCCACCAGGTCCAGGTGCAGGGGCTCCCCCAACACTCTCAGGGCATGCAAAGGTCTGTTCTGGTCTTAAGGTTGTGCTAAGGAGTTCCCCAGGTGGGAGAATACATCCTCGCAGTTAGATAACAGGAACAAAACATAGGGCGTCCCTCTCTCTTGTACTGTTACCAAGGGGTTCGGGGAGAAGGCCCTGGGTGAAGAAGTTCCTTTTCAAATTAATCCCAGGCAGTTGGTGTGTGAGGGCTCTGAATGACCATTTGTTCTGCCCCTTGAAGGAGTCCTGCTCTTCTCCCTTCTTCCTCTCCTGCCCTCTCAGCTTCCTGCTCTCACTTCTTTTATTAATACATCACTTCTAAATGAATGTAGACACCAGAAACTAATTCAGCGGGAGGCAGTGCAGTTGACAGGTGAATTCACTGCTATGGGAGTCAACCCACAGTGTTTACTCTTTTGCTTCCTCACATCCTGACTGTGTAAACTGCTTGTTACTTAACCCCTCTGTACCCCAGTTTCTTCATCTGTAAAATGGGGAGAGTACTTCCTACCTCAGAGACTCAGGAAGACAGTGCATGTCCAGCACATAACTCAGCACTGGCTCACGCTAAGTGCTTGAGGAGTCGCAGTGGTTGTGATTTTACTGTCAGTGGGTGTGGAAGGGTGTGTCAGGGTTGTGACTATTGCTTTTAACACCATGGTTCCCAAGTGACCCTCTTGGTGCCTCTGCAGATAGAGAGAGAGAAGCTGCATGGCTGCATTGACGTGGGGCTCTCAGTGATGTCTGTAAAGAAGTCATCAAAATGCATAGACCTTGACACCGAGGAGCACATCTACCATCTGAAGGTGAGGCTGCTTCCCACTGTGCAGAGTTGACTTATGTTGGGGAAGGATTGTCAGTTATTATACTGTTGGTGATGCCTTTTGGGTATTCAGCCAACATGTAGAAGACCTTCGTTACCAAAGTGTTTCTCATGGACAGTGTTGGTGTTTGAATGGGATGTCATTGTGCAGGACTGTCAGCACTGCTTGAAGGTTTAGCCTCCTGGTCACCTCATCCCCTAGATACCAGCCTGCCCCCAGTGATTGTGACAACAGTCAACAATGAAAAATGTTGTTTGCAAACCATCTCCACTCAGGCAGTAACATCTTTAGTGAAGAACCATTTACTATAGGTTAACATGTGTTCCTGAAATATATATAACATTTAGGCCATGGAGCCCTGTTTTATCACTTTGGCTAATTTTATAGGAATCCCACCAAAATTCTAATATTGTAGTGAAATGTCAGGAATTTTTCCCCTAAAGCGTGGATTCCCAAATAGTACTTCAAAGCTGCTTACCCTCTTGTGCTGTCTCTCCTGCAGGTGGTAGAGATAGTCAAAGCATGAAGCGTGAGATCTAGATCTGGTTCAGATCTTGATGTGGCTACTCACTAGCCATTGAACTTTGGCAAATTACATATCTCTGAAAGTCTCAGTTTTTTCACCTAAAACAAAATGAAAATTATTATAACACTCATCTTGTCGGGCTGCATGTAGAAAACTTGGCCTAGTGCCTGGCCCAGTGTAAACTCAGGAAGTGTAGTTATTGTATGTGCTTGTTGGATGGTACCCGAATGTTAGAAATTAATTGAGAAAATACTAAGACTGTTTTCTTACTTGGGAAAATTACTTGAGATATTGGGAATGGGGCCCCAGGATTAGGAAAATGAAAGCATGAGATCATGAGCTCCTTGTCTCAGTGTGTCCCTGTCCGCTCTATGGCATGTGTGTGGTGATTGAGCCATGTGGACCACATACCTGTGGTTGGTTGAATGGGCAAGACAGTCAAATCTTCACTATTTCCTAGCCTAACTGTATCTCTGGGTGTAGCTAATTGTGTAAAGCAAGGTTTTTCAGCCTCAGCACCATTGACATTGTGAGCTGGATAATGCTTTGTTGTGGGAGGCTGACTTTGTATAGCAGGATGTTGAGCAGTGTCCCTGCCCCCTGCCCTCTCTCTAGATGCCAATAGCATCCTTCTCCAGTTATGACAACCAAAAATATCTCCAGACATTGCCAGGTGTTCCCTAGAGGATAAAACCACCCCTGGCTGCAAATGACTGGTGTGAAGTATGGGAGGGAAAAGCCTATATCTTAAGAGAAAAAAGAAATTTAAGAAAGAATACTATCCTTTATTCTGTTTCAGTGATCGGTCTCCACTAGAATAGTTTAGGTTATTTCTTCAGGTACTTCCAATGAATCTTAGCTCTGTATTTTGACATGGTCAGGAATTAATAGGTTCTTATTTGCCCACTATTCTGGTTAACAAAATAAAAGTAATTATGAATTAATAATTTTTAAAGGGTTAGAATACCTTAAAATATATTGAATGCTAATATTGTGATAAACGCAGTTTAATATTTCTCTGTGATTTGCTTTAAGTTCTGTTTGGTTTCTTGTTCGTTGTTTTGAACATCAGCTCTGATTCTTAGTGTAGGCAAGTGTAGTTATTTGAGGGTTCTAGTTAATAGACTCAGTCAGGCAGTTTTAAATTGTGGGCTGTTTGATCCCATTTATTTTATAGATAAGGGATCCTGGATAGCAGAGAGATTAAGCAGCTGTTCACCCACGACCCTAGAACTACTTGAGAGACTGGAACAGGACCCTGGACGGTTATTTAATAAAGTGCTCTTATTCTTCTACCTTGTTTAACTGATAAAAAAGTGAGTCCAGATGAGTGCTTGGGCACTGACTTATAAGGGCCTCTGAGAATAGATCAGAGCAAAAGATGACACAAGATTCCTGTAAAATTCCTTTTAACCACATCTGGGAAATGAAATACATTTCAAGAACATAATTTAGGGGGAGACAAATAGGTGTGAGTCTGTTTGTATTGCTTCTTCCTGTAAATGACACATTAAAAAGCCCCTGCAGGTGCTTCCAGTCTTATAGGTACTTCTAACAATCAACACTAGAGCCAACCTAACAGTTCCTCAGTGAGTGATATTGCTGGCATTTATTTGCATATCCTAGCTCTCATCTCTGGCATTAGTAAAGATTTTCACAGTTTGACCTGAACTTTTCATCTTGGAAGTTATCCTACTGTGCATCCTTTTGGATTATCTTAAATTACAGCTTCATAAGTCTCAGTGTTCTAATATATGGGTATCTATCATTTTTTTACTTTGAAAATATCAATACATTGACACACACACACACACACACACACACACACACACACCCTAACTTTTTTTTTTTTTTTTTTTAAGACCAAGTCTCGCTGTGTCACCCAGGCTGGAGTATAGTGGCGCGATCTCGTCTTATTGCAACCTCTCTCGCCCAGGTTCAGGCGATTCTCCTGCCTCAGACTCCTGAGTAGCTGGGACTACAGGCGCATACCACCACACCCAGCTAATTTTTGTATTTTTAGTAGAGATGGGGTTTCACCCATGTTGGCCAGGATGGTCTCGATCTCCTGACCTCGTGATCCACCCTCCTTAGCCTCCTAAAGTGCTGGGATTACAGGCGTGAGCCACAGTGCCCGACCAAAATTGACTTTTAAGAAATATCTGTGGTATATAGGTGCTTGTTATATTCTTTTTATATATATCACATATATTTTTATAAACGTTTGAAATATCTTTAAATAAAAACTACTAGTTACAAACAGTATTCTTCATGGAAATTAGACATTGATAATTGCTCATTTATGGAGAGAATGGCTAAAGGTTTGTGAGTATGAGAGTAAAAAAAGTTGGAAAAATAATATTGCCGTACAGTGCTTTATTTCTAAGAGTGGGAGAAATGTTCTTTTAAATAACCTTCACTTTCATTAACACATTGTATTGGTTCATTTTCACACTGCTGATAAAGACATACCCAAGACTGGGCAATTTACAAAAGAAAGAGGTGAATAGACTTACAGTTCCACATGGCCCGGGAGGTCTCACAATCATGGCGGAAGGCAAGGAGGAGCAAGTCACATCTTCTGTAGATGGTGGCAGGCAAAAAGAAAGAGTTTGTGCAGGGAAACCCCGCTTTATAATACCCCCAGATCTTGTGAGACCCACTCACCACCACGAGAACACTGTGGGAAAGACCTGCCCCCATGATCCAGTTCTCTCTCACTGACCAGGTCCCTCCCACAAAATGTGGGAATTTAAGATGAGATTTTGGTGGGGACACGGAACACAGCCAAACCATATCACATATACTCCTCAGCAATGTATTCTTTGTTGGAGAGATGAACAAGGTTAAATATTTTAGGAAGAATTTACTAATTCATTCCAGTTCAGAAAAGATTGATCTGAAAAGTCTGAATTAGAAAAGAGTTTAAAAAGAAAAATGGTGCTCATATTTTCAGTAGGGATAGAGAAGCTGGGATTAGAGAACTTAGAAATGCTTTAAGAGGCAGATAAATATAAATATCAATTTATTTGTTGCTTAATATGATTGGCAGTGTTCTGGTTTCTTAAAAATAGCATTACAGGCGGTGGCTCACGTCTGTAATCCCAGCACTTTGGGAGGCCGAGGCAGGTAGATCACAAGGTCAGGAGTTCGAGACCAGCCTGGCCAACATGATGAAACCCTGTCTTTACTAAAGATACAAAAAATTGGCTGGGCGTGATGCTGCATGCCTGTAATCCCAGCTACTCGGGAGGTTGAGGTGGGAGAATTGCTTGAACCTGGGAGGTGGAGGTTGCAGTGAGCCAAGATCGGGCCATTGCACTCCAGCCTTGGGCAATAGGGCAAGACTCCATCTCAGATAAATAAGTAAATAAATAAATAACAGTTGGATTCACTCATAGAAAGCCAAAATACATACTTTGTAAAGATCATTTTTACTCTGCATTTCTTTCTCAAACTTGTTCCTGTAGACCACATCAATGTAAACAGTCAATGAGAGGCTACTTCTCCATTCCTTTTCTTTCTTATTTATGTATTTTTTTTGAGGCAAGAGTCGCCCTCTGCCACCCAGGCTGGAGTGCAGTGGCTCAATCTCGGTTCACTGCAGCCTCAACCTCCCAGGCCCAAGTGATCCTCCCACCTCAGCCTCCCGAGTAGCTCAGATCACAGGCTTGTGCCACCATGTCTGGCTAATTTTTTTGGTAGTTTTTGTAGACACAGGGTTTCACCATGTTGCCCAGAGTGGTGTCAAACTCCTGGGCTCAAGTGGTCCTACCTCCTCGGCCTTCCAAATTGCTGGGATTACAGGCATCAGCCACTGCGCCTGGCTGTTGAAATTATGTGCCAACTGAAAAAGCGGATTTCGGGAGTGGCCTCAGTTTGATGAGTAATTGTTCCTTCCCGTGAGTGATTCTCTTCTTCCCTTTTTTCAATTGAATACATCATAGGTCAAATCAGAAGAAGTCTTTGATGAGTGGGTATCGAAACTTCGCCATCACAGAATGTATCGTCAGAATGAAATTGCCATGTTTCCACATGAAGTTAATCACTTTTTCTCAGGGTCCACCGTCACAGACTCTACATCTGGGGTGTTTGACTCCATTTCAAGTAGGAAGGTAATGAGTGTTTTGCCAATAATGAATCTGAGAACGGGGTGGCTTTTTTTCATGGAGTCCTATCTTGGGAGCTGAGTCCGAAGAAGGAGAGGTTTTCAGGGACAAGCAGGTAGGCTTGGGGTGGTATTTAATTAGTCTGTTTGCCCACTGAGTCAGAAGCAAGACCAGACGAGCATCTCTTATTTGGGGGGGACAGTGACTGAAGAATGAGGAGGAATTTAGCATCTCTGAATGAACTAGCTTTGTCCTGACTGGTTTGAGTTTGGTTTCCTTTTCTGGTTGTAAACTACAGTAGGTATGCATATAGCTATGCAGGATTGCAAAATAGTTCCAAACATTTATTATTTTGGTGTTATTATTAATATGTGATAAAAGAAGAAAATAAGGTCCACCATTCAAGCATGCCATATCATAGCATGGTATGGCCAAGCCAGGGTGATAGTCAGAGGTTTTAGTACTTAGCTAGAAGCTTCTTCCTCGTTATAGGCAAATGGTGTCCTTTAGTGACTAACCCACTCTGTTATCCTTTACCTTAACATGTCCCTGCTGGGCTCTGTTTCCGTTTACAATGTGCTTTTGTCATCTGTGGAACAGCGTAGCAGTATATCAAAGCAGAATTTATTTCAAACTGGAAGCAATGTATCATTTTCTTGCGGTGGAGAGACACGAGTTCCATTATGGTTACAGTCTTCAGAGGACATGGAAAAATGCTCCAAAGGTAGAGTGACTGGAAACCTCTGCTTTCTGTCGTGGCTGTTAGATGATACTGGTTTGATGTTTACACTTCAGGTGCATTTGTGTCCTTCCCCTTTGCTTGTCCACATTCCCTTCCATATTTTGCTTGTAAAAGTTGCACCCATCATCAACAAGAGACACTCTCCTTGCAGATCTTTGCATCTTCACCTGGCTGTACATGCAGACAGGTTTCTTCTTCTGTTCCTTCAGTATTGATGCCTGATACTGATGCCTGATTTCCACATGGGCCTCTAAGTCAGTCTCCAAGGGCAGAGTCTGACACACATCCAAGATTGAGAATCATTGTGCTGGAGGTGAGGGGGTGATCAGATGGAGATCTTCACGACTTAGGTGTTCTCTACCCTGACTGCACATTAGAATCACCCAGAGGGCTTTTAAAATGCAGTAATACCCATTCCCAGTCCTCTGTCTCAAATGATCTCTTTAAATTGGTCTGAGGTAGGGCCCGGGTATCACTAATTTTCCAAAGTTCCCCAAGTGATTTTGATAAGGCACCTGCCATGAGGAAGCTCAGCATTCTCAACCTTAATTAGCTAAGACTGACTTAGGGAACTAAAAACCGAAAAGATCCACAGTGGGATTGGGAGTGCTCTGATTGAATTGTCTGGGGGTGGGATTTAGGCATATATAATTTAGAAGATTTCTCCAATTGATTTAAAAGTGTAGCCATGATTGAGAGCCACTGTTGGAGAAAGATACCAGGTGGCAGCCTTGAAAATTGCATTATCTCTTGTTGAATGTAGGTAGTATCACCCTTGGGACCATGTAGGCTTTGCCCCTCCAATAAACATCACTTTTGAGCTTTACTGAGTGACAGCTTGTCAAAGCAGTCCCTGGAGCCTTGTCTCTGGAGCAGCAGCATCCACCCGGGAACTTACCAGAAATGCACATTTTCAGGCTCAACCCGGATGTACTGAATCAGAAACTAGGGGTGGAGCCCAGTGAGCTATGGTTTAACAAGGTCTCCGGGTGATCCCGATGATATCAAAGTGTGAGAGTCTCTAGCTTAAGGCATTTGGGCCTGTATTCTTTAGCAGAAACATCCATCAGCATCCAGCGAATGGCAAATTATGGACTATCTTTTGAGTTAGCAACTGGGATCTGGTTGGAGAGTCCTCTTATGTCCTCTCAGGTCCATCTGCAGAGGCTCATTATGATCCTCAGGCAGGTCCATCATTGACAAAGTTTTCCTTAGAGACTGGTACAACTTTCATTTTAGTTTTATTAATGTGCATTAGGTCCTGACAAGTGGATAGCGTCAGCATATTACTACAGGATTAAACTTAATGATGATGATGATGTTGGCTGATTTATTTAGTTTTTACTCTGTGCCAAACACTCTTCTAAGAACTCTGCAACATCAACTCATTTAATTCTCACAACTGTCTTGTGATCTATGTGTATAATTATCCCCATCTTTGTGATGAGGAAGCTGAGGCATGCAGTTTTGCAATTTTCTCAGTAGTTACAGTTCATTAAGTGGATTCAAACTGAGGTAGCCTGGTTCTCAAGATTTGTGCCCTTAACCACTAGAGTCTACAGCCTTTCCTGTAAAAAGGGAAGTAAAATTTCCAATCCTTACAGATAAAAAAAAAAAAATCAACTACAGATAAATAAGGAAAAGTAGCTGGCATGGGGACAGCAGTGATCCCCCTTGCTGGTGGAGGAATTGTGAGCACTATCCTCTTTTCCCCCACAGACCTGGCGCACTGTCATGCCTACCTGGTAGAAATGAGCCAGCTCCTGCAAAGCATGGATGTCCTGCATCGGACATACTCGGCACCAGCTATCAACGCCATCCAGGTGAGCCCGACTCCTCTTCTGTTGACATTCTGGCCCTCTTCTGCTTTCCTTTCTCCTCCCAGCCTTTCACTAACAGTGGGATGCTGTGGTCAGTTGCTTCAGCCAAAGTCAAGGGGATGGAGGTAGTCACCTTGCTAAGCATTTATCCTTATCGGTTTGGTGGACTTTACTGTCTGTGCTCTCTTTCCTGTTTTGAAACAAAGGGTGGAGCTTTTGAAAGTCCCAAAAAGGAAAAAAGATCACAAAGGAGGTGGCGGTCCAGAGCTATTGGCAAAGATGCTAAAGGAACGCTGCAGGTAACCATTGCTTCCCCCGACAGACTGGTTTCTTCATTGGCCCTGCTCTGCATGCCATGTGCCGGGAGCTGCCTTGACTCAGCTAGGAGAATAGATGAGTGAATATTCTGTAGTTGTTCTTTCCAATGTCCTCTGCAGATAGATGAATTGAATCGCTTAGACTGTCTGGGTGCTAGGATATGCACATAAGGGATCGTGGGCAAGGGAGAGAATATTTTCTAAGGGAAAAAGGGTGTGAGGTTGCAGGGACTGCTGCCATTTCTAGGGCTTTTGGTTTCCCCATCTTCACTGTTGAGCCTGCCTGTGCTCTTCCCTGCTTGTGTTTGTGCCTTGTTTTGTGGCTGCAGTTACTGTGTGCTCTGACCTATGTCTTCTGCTCATGCTCCATGGATTTGTTATCCCTCTAAGCCCACAGGCATGATTCTCTGGGCACAGGACATGGTGTAGATTCTCCTTGGCCTCTTATCTCCAAACTCCCAATGCCTCATCCAGGATTCGCTGTGTCATGCATGCGAGGAGCTTTCCCAGTGCACAGCTAAGCCACAGGCCAAGATTTGCAGCTTAACTGTTGCATATTAAATTGGAACACTTTTAGAATCAACATAAATCTCAAGCTTCTGGTTAGGTCACCTGATACACTCTTGTATACTCTTTGGTTCAAAGTAGTTTATGGACTGAAGATAAGCACTTTGGAAGTAAAGAATGTTCCATGTACAAATGAAGGTCATTTGTTTTGTAGAAGCCCTAGGTGCAAAGGAAAGCATTTTAAACCTATCCATTACTAACTGCCTGGATACATGGATGATTATTGCCAGGAGGAAGGAATTGAGTATACATGAGAAAGCCTGGCAGCTTTAGCTGTCATTTTCAACCTAAAGCTTTAATGCTTCTATCATTTCCAAAAGAATATGTGATTTCTCACCCATTTTTAGCTCACAAGAAGCAAGTTGCTGTGGAAAGTGTTGTCTTGAGTTCTCATTTTTAAAAATAAGTTATCACTCAGTAGAAAGACCTACCTATAAAATGTTTTATATTACTGTATTTCAATCTTAGAATCAAGTAAATATTCTAAGCAATCTGCATCTGAAAAGAAATATCTCCCTTTGGTGTTACTTCAGGTCCCCAAACCTTTTTCTGGCCCAGTAAGACTACACTCCTCCAATCCTAATTTGTCAACACTAGATTTTGGAGAAGAGAAAAATTATTCTGATGGCTCTGAAACCTCATCAGAGTTTTCTAAAATGCAAGAAGATCTGTGTCATATTGCCCATAAAGGTAAATGAGTTTTCTTTCTTCCTAATGTGTTTGATGAAAATGTTAAATGCATGTCTGAATGTGAGATGTCCTTAGAGAGGGTATCTTAGTTGGTTCATTTTCTGCTCTATTAAGATTTAGGGAAACCTAATTTTTATTTTATTTCCCTGGTAGTGGAGAATGTATTGGCAAGAACTGTCTTTTTAACCTTGTAGGGGAGACAGTGAGAGAGAGTTAGTACTTTCAAAGCTGAGCAGTTCATGTGATGCTGATGGGAGTGTAAATTGGTAATTTTCTGGAGGGCAATATGATATTATTTTCCCACTATTTTAAAAATCTGCCTATCTAGTAATTCCACTTTGAAGAATTCATTGTAGGAATTAACTTAGGATTTATCCAAACAAAGTATCCATTTTGCATTGTCACATCAAAAATTAGAAATAGGTATTCAACATCATTAGCCATTAGGAAAATGCAAATTAAAGCCATGATGAGATATCACTACACACCTATTAGAAGAGCCAAAGTTAAAAGAAAATATAGTATCAAATGCCAGTGAAAATGCATATGAATTTAATCTATCATACATTTCTTGTAGCTATGTAAAATGGTGTAGCCACTCTGGAAAACAGTGTGTTGTATAAAACTAAACATGCATTTACCATGCAACCCAACACTCATTTCTGAGCATTTGTTCCAGATAAATGAAAATTTATGTCCACACACAAATCTATACCCATGTTCAGAGCAAGTTTATTTGTATTGGCCAAAGACTGGAAACAAACTCAAGTGGTTTTCAACAGATGAATGGTTAAACAAACTGTGGTACATCCATACAATCGAATACTACTCAGCAATACCAAGGAACAAACTATTGATATACATAGCAACTTGGATGGATCTCAAGGACATTATGCTGAGAGAAAATAGCCAATCTCAAAACATTACATAGTATAGGTGTATTACTCCATGTTCATGCTGCTGATAAAGACATACCCGAGACTGGGTAATTTATAAAGAAAAAGAGGTTTAATGGACTCACAGTTCCATGTGACTGGGGAGGTCTCACAATCATGGCAGATGACAAAAAGCTTGTCTTACATGGTGGCAGTCAAGGGAGAATTAAAGCTCAGTGAAAAGGGAAACCCCTTATAAAACCATCAGATCTCATGAGACGTATTTACTACCACAAGAACAGTATGGGGAAAACCGCCCCCGTGATTCAATTATCTTTCACTGAGTCCCTCCCATAACACGTGGGAATTATGGGAGCTACAATTCAAGATAAGATTCGCGGGGGGGACACAGCCAAACCATATCCATAGGGTTCCACTTACATAAACATTTTGAAATGATATAATTATGGAGATGGAGGAAGTAAAGGGGAGTGTGATTATAAAGGTGTAGCACAGGGGATCTTGTGGTGATGAAAAGTTCCATACCCTGATTGTGGTGCTGGTTACAGGAATGTGGACATGTGATAAAATTGCATTTACTTATACCCACACACATATAAATGGATCAGTGCATGTAAATCTGGTGAAATCTGAATAAAATCTGTAGATTATACTAATGTCAACTCCCACATTTTTATATTGTATCATAGATGTGTAAGACGTAACTACTGGGAAAAACTGGGTATCGGGTATGTGGGACTTTACTGTTTTTGCAAGTACCTGTAAGTCAATAATGATTTCAAAATAAAAGGTTAAAAAAATAGAAATAATCTAAATGCCAAACAATAGAAGATTGAGTTTTTTCAAAAATGTAATATAATAGAATGTTCACTACTGCTAATAATGATAGCTACTTAACATCGAGCACATAACTGTCATGTCAGGTATTTGCTAATTACTTTACGTGCATTATTTTAATTCTAGCTGTAGCCTGTGAAGTAGGTATCATTGTGATCTCTATTGCATAAATAAGAAACTTGAGACTTAGACAAAATAACAGCTTTCTGAGGGTCACATAGTTATAAAGCAGCCAACATGAGACTTGAAGTCTCACCTGTTTGACCCCAGAGTCCGTATTCCTTACCTGGTATTTCTCTGCTCTTACAGATGGAGTGGCCAGGATTATTTTTTATAGACATAGAAAGATGTCCTCAGCATAAAATGTAAAGTAAAAATGTAAGATTACAAAGCAATATATAGATATGATTCTATTTCGGGCACATATAGGTATACTAAAAAGTCTGGAAGGATATATACCAACATTTTAGTGATGGAGGCTGGAGTTATAAGTTCTTATTTATCTTTCTGCTTAACTTTGTTTTCAATTTTCATCTATTATTTCTTAAAGAGAAAATGGATTTAAAATGTTTCAGTAGGAGGGCAGTGTGTAATGTGGGAAGAGAAAAGATATTCCCTCTATTGCCTTCCTTTCCTACTTCATATTTTTCTTTCGTACATTACTGATTATTTCAGCTCTCTCTTCCCTTACATATTGGATATAAGGTGGGTTATAAGGAAACCATTTCATCCTTTATACAGATTGCTACCTTGAATACTTGTCCTAATTACCGTTAGAATGTTGCCAGTATTTTGCTGTGCTATTGTACAGTCCATCTGTGAAATGGCAAGAGTTACCTGGCCCACCCTTAAAGGCTCTTCAAAGAATTTGAAGAATTAAAATGATCAGCTGCAGTTAGGGCGTCTTAAATTTTGTGGGAGGAAATTCCTATAAAACATTGTTACTTTTTAATAATATGAACTTTAAAAAAAATGAGAAGATAATGCCTCCCTACACAAAGGAAATGTCCTGAGTTTCACCTACATTGAAGAAGCTCCCTCCTCAGTGGGACAGAGGTCGCCGTATTGAGTGGATCCATTGATCCAGTCCTCCTGCAGAGGCCTCCACCTTGTTGAGAGTCTGTAATGGTCCCCAGCCAGCAGTTCTGTCTTTCCCACTTTGTGAAAACCTACTGGCTGCAGAGCTGCCACATACCTAGCCTGGGCCAAGGTTTGTCCTGGAGAAAGGTCCAACGCAGTTATTCAACAGTCGTCTGAGCCCTGTGGGCTTACAGGCAGCAAATTCCGCAGGGAGCCTAACAAGCTGTTTCATTCCTGTGGTTTTACAGTACACTTGCAGAGATGGAAAGATCTTCCTTTTCCTGGTTCAGGGAGTCTCTTACACAGATGGTAATGTGGGGGCCTCAGAGAATAAAGACAGCTCTCAGGTTTGTGCTAAGTCCTGTGACCTTGCATGGCTTCTCACTTCCATACATTCAGACTGGAAGCATCTTGACCTTTCTTCTTGTGTAAACCTCGTTTTGTTACTGACAGTATCTGTTGTACTTTCTCAACTGCATCACTATTCTGTTGACTACAACTCCAAAGCAGCTGAACTAAAGGCAAGAATCCCAGTGATGTAACATAGTCTCTGTGACCTTCAACTTGTTAAATGCATCTGAATTCTCCTGGTTTTGTAGATCAAATGGTAGAAAATCAATATACACCCATCCTAGTTTTGAAGTCCTTATTCTATATTGTAGACTGAGAGTTTGATTTTTATGGCATATTGTTGAACCAGTTGTTGGCTTATGTTTCTGTCTTTGTGTGGATGTTCACACACATAGAAGCAGAGAATGAAATGTATTGAAACCTAAAAGTCTTAAGTAATTTTTGTTGCATATATTAGTTTTTACGTTTCCCAAAATACATTTTATGGATCGCTTTGCGCGTACAGTACTTCTAAAAACGAAACAAAAACTTCATGATTAAAAATGTTTGGAAAGCACTGCTGACTATGGTCTCCTTTTGGATTTACATAAGAACAGTAAATAACAAAGGCCCTGAGAAGTCCTGCAGCAAACAACAACAACAAAAAAAAAATCTGTTGGCTTTGTTTAACTCAGTGACTTTCAATGTTATTTGGGAATCTTCCCCCCTATTCCCAATAGCTATTAACATCCTGGAATTTAAGTTTCTGAGAAACATACTTTAAGAAACAATGTAAATAATAAGCCTTTTTTGGAGCTCCCTCTATACCTGTCTCTTATACACATCTAGATGTGTATAAGAGTTAAGTTTCTGAGAAACATACTTTAAGAAACAATGTAAATAATAAGCCTTTTTTGGAGCTCCCTATATACTGGCTAAGTAGGCTACCTCTGTTACTGACTAGCTGTGGAACTTCGACTTCATTTATTAACCTCTCTGGCCCTTGATAGCCTGTTAAATGTCATATAGTAGTTGTCCTGACTCTTTTGATTCTCAAATTCTGTAGTTATTTTCTTTGATTATTTTACACTGAATAGAGTCCATACTATTGCTTATTGTTACCAGAAAGTTTTCTGAGAGAGTGCTCTGTTAGCAGAAACAGAAATGACCAAACTTGGTGAGTAGATTTAGGATGGCAAAGCAAGGAACAAGACAGGACTAGGGTCAGATGTTCCAAATGGAAGCGGATATCTGTATTCTCTGACTTGGAAGGGAAGCAAATTATGTTTTAGGTACACTTTTCCTACAAGTGAAGGAAATCATTATTCACAAATGTGAAAGCTAAATAGAACAAAATCACAATTGTATTTACCTATTCTTTTCTTCCTGGATTCTTTCTCTGTGTTTGAGTAGTAATTATTGAGTGGTCATTTTATGAACCATTTTCAGCTTATGGAAGCATTGAATAAAAAGCCAATTGTGTTACAATGATACCTCTTGCATAGATTAAAAAGCTAAAACAGATATATGACTCAACAAAAAAAGCCAAATAATTTATTGTTCATAAATTAGAATTCAGCATAAATGTGCTGAGCAATTAGATTCATAAGTAGGACCATTTGGTAAAGTTACCTAATGTATCTAAATCAATTCGGATGGAATATGGGTTGAAAAGTATTGTAAAATCATGGGCATCCTGTGAGGTTTGAAACTTCTGCAGATTACAGAAGATCAGAGTTTCCCAGATATATTAGGAATGTTAACATTTTAAAGAAAATTCACCTAAAATTTGGTTTCCAATTAAAAAGGGGGGAAAATGAGTCTCACTGTTTGTTAGGTGCTCTGTGATAGTAGGTTTTCTCCTTGCTTAAAGCACTCCTCAGATGTGCCCATTATCTACATGTACAGATGTAGAAACCAAGGATTTGTCCAAAATATAAATGGCAGCTGCAACTAAGTGTTAGAGGTAGGATTTAACTTCTGGCTGGCCTTATTAGAGAATTTCTTTCTCCTGTACCACACTGCTTTCTAGAGCAGTGCCCATGACATTCATAACTGCTTTCTCCAAGATCTTATTCTTTCGTGATGCTGAGAAACTGCTAAAGAAGGAGCATATTAAGAAGTAGAGCTCAGATAAATTGAGTCCAACTGTCCTTCAGTATTGACTCTCACTATCCAAACATTCCATCTATTATAGTCTCACCATACTAACTCAATAAAAGAACAGCTTGGAAGCCTTAGAAACAGAAAAGTAGTGACCACCAAGAGTCACTTGTACGATGCTTATGATGTTCCATTCTGTAGATGCAACTCAAGACTTCTTATAATCAAAGACTCAACCTGTGCCTGCCTCTCGTAGTCCAGGAAGGGTATCTGAGAAGTGGCTAATGACAATTTGGGAAAGAGATAAATAAACATAGATGCCACAGTTGCCTTCCGATATTTGAACACCCGATGAAAGAGGAAATACCTCCTGTTTGACAGTGAAGAGACACTGAGGCAAATGTCTTAGCAGCAGGAAGGACTTTCTAAGTCCCAGAGCACAATGTACCATTTTAGGAGATAGCAAGTGCTCTGACAAGCATGAGCCAACAGACCATTTGGCAGGGAAGCTGGAGATGTGAAGAGTTGGTCGTGTTGTGGGTAGGTGGCTTTGATAATCTATGAGGTCCTTCATACCTCCGAGCAGCTAAGATTTTCTGTGTGGCTTTATTTATTGTCAGGTAACCATAGATGTGATGCACTCATTTGACTCTTCTATTTTTTAAGGCTGTTTATTTGTCTTTAGTAAGCTTAGATTTGTGTTAGAAATAAGTAAGAAAACACTCCTGTCACAGAGAGTGTTCCTGACTTTTGGGATCCGGTGTCTTAATTAATGTAAATGTGGGGTCTCTCATGAGCAACCTCTGATCGTTGCCCTGTGTGTGGCGGATCGTTAGGTGGCTGTGAATGACTATTTTAACGTCCTGAGTGGGCCTTAATAGTCGTTTAAGAAATTTAGTACACGGGGATCTAGTCTTCCAAACCCTTTTTTCAGATGATTTAGGAAGCGTTTTATACCTCACAATAAAATATAATGACTGTATGAGTTTCTTTCTGCTTATCTTACACCTGCTGCAATCTTGTCAGCTGTACCTTTTGAACCAAATATTGTATATTCTGCCAGTTTTAAAAAATGTATATAGGACTCTTCTCGTTTGGTGGAAAGCCTTGCTTTTCTGTGGGTCACCTGGAAACCAGAGGAATTGATTTGGAAAAGTGGCAGCCAGCTGAGTGCCACATTTATTTTATTTGGAGCAATAAACAGGACAGTGGAGAGGTAGCTCCCCGGGGGATCCGCTAAGATGGCCATGGGCATCCTGTGTGTGTGGCAGGCAGGGGAGGGGCATAGTGCCTATCTAATAGGACACAGGATGTAGTCCATAACTGTGTGGCTTCTGCGCTCCTCCTGTGGCTGTTCTCCTACGACTCCATGGATTCTGGCCAACCCCTCATTCCTAGAATTTTTGCCCTGTGTGCAATTATTTACAAGCTTTGTCCTGGCAAAAGATTAAAGCGTCCTCTAGAGCTGCTGCCAACATTTCAAGAGACTGCAGTCACCATCACTTTCATCCTCATGTGTCTCCTTCATTGGTATCACTATGATTATTGCAGTAACACTTGTTATTTATTACATACCATGTATTGTGTTATGTGCTTTACCTGCATTCTCTCTCTCATTCAATCCTCATGACAACCATTTAAAGTAAAAGTTATTGTTATCCCCATTTACAAATGTGGAAATTGGAGTTCAGGCACATCATTTACTCATCCAAGGTCATGCAGTGAATAGATGATGGAGTAGGGAAGAATCCAGGGCTGATGGTGGAGCCCCAGCTTTTGGTCACTCTGTTGTCCTGCCTATTATTTTGCTCAATTAAATTGTTTAAAGCAAAGAGCTAAGTGTGTTTCATAGGCATTGTTAGAAAATTTTAGTTCCATTTGACCCCCATCTTCTCTTGGCAGAGGCAGCACCATTGTGTGTGTGTGTGTGTGTGTGTGTGTACACAAATTGTGACTTTGTTAAGATGTTTCATGTCCATCACTAAATGCCACAACCTCAGGCAAGTTCAGCAACAACGTATAGAGAGGTTTAGTTGTCCTCTTTGCTATTAAATGAAGTAAGTCAATAATGCCTATTTAGTTTCTGTGTTACTAAATAGGCCACTCTTGAATAACAATACCTCTAAAAATGCAGCCCTGTGGAATTCAGTAATGTGCTAGGTCATTTGAGAAGACATGTGTCTGAGTCTCTTCCGTCTTCCTGCTCTTCTAAAACAAAATATAATCAAGGAGATTGGAAAGATAATATTGAAATGTGATAGCCACGATCAGTAATTTAGATAACAGCTTCCTCATCCCTAGGAAGTAATTTGTACATGATGTGATCAAAACCTAATGAATAGTGATTTTTTTTTTTTTTTTTTTGCTGTATGTGTTGTTTTTTAAAACTTCAGTTCAGGCATTGGAGGCCATAGTGGCTAAGCCCTCTTTGTACCTGAGTGCTCACTCAGGAACAGAGTAGCTGAATGCCAGGGTTAGAGCTGGGGTATTCTGGCTCCTGCAGCTGGAAGGGCTAACAAGCAAGAAGGTAGACAATAAGACCTTGTTTTGAAACAATGACAAACTTATAGAAAAGTTGCAAGAATTATACAGAGAACTTCTGTATACCCTTTACCCAAATACTTCATTTTAAATATTTGCCACATTTATTTTATCACTCTCTCTACATACACACTTTCACTTTTCGGAACGATTTGAGAGTAGGATTCATACACCACGTTGTTCTTCATGGCTTTATACTGTAGTGTATAAAATAGGAATACTCTGTTATATAACCACAGTATAGTAATCAAATTCAGGAAATACAGCATTGAAACAATTTTATCTATTCTACCTTCCATATTCAAATGCTGTCAGTTATCCCAATAATGCCTTTAGTATCATGTTGCCCCTTGAGTCAATTTCATTGTCATTCCTCTTTTGCCTCCTTTAATTGGGAACAGTTCCTCAGCCTTTCTTTCTGTGTCATAAAATTGACACTTCTGAATAGTATAGGCCAACTTTTAAAAATAAAACACTTCTTATTCTGGGGTTGTCTGATGTTTCCTCATGATCAAATTCAGATTACATAGCCCTGGCTGGTATGCACCAAAGGAGATGTTGTATCTTTTTCAGCGTACTTTACCTGGAGGCACATGGTCCACCTGAGTCTCACCAATAGTTAATTTTAATCACCTGATTAAGGTGCTAATTTTTCTGCTGCAGTGTTAACATTTCCCCTGAAAAACCAATAAGCTTTGTTTTTAACCCTTTCCAGTCTTTGGGGATACAAACAAAACAAAACACAGATCATTGAGGATCCAGAAGCAAAGTCCAAATGTCAAAATATCCTGATGATAAGTCATAAAGTCATGAGACGTTATAGTGGATAGGGGCCTTAGAATTGCCAGATGTGTGTGAATGGGGTTAGTTTTAATAGACTTAATTTTTTTCGAGCAATTTTAGGTCCACAGCAAAATTGAACCAAAAGTGCATAGTCTTTATAAGCCCCCTGCTCCCATGTAGGCACAGTGCCCCTGCCATCAGCATCCCACACCAGAGTACTGCATCTCTTACGGTCGATGAACCTACGTGGACACATCATCATCCAGAGGCCTTAGTTTACATTAGAGTGTTTTACATGGCAAATGTGTTTTTCAAAAGTCAAGGTAGAGTGTGCATTTGCTACACTCAAAATATTCAGGGCTGTTACTTTGCTTATTTCTTTTATAAGAGATAGTTTTTTTACGGTATTTTGTTTTTAATTATGCCTCCTTATTCCTTTTTATAATGATTATATCTCTATAGTTTACTTCACTTTAAGGTCAGCTTTTAATATCATGTCAGCGGAGAGAGAGAAACTGAAGCAGCTGATGGAGCAGGATGCCTCCTCCTCCCCATCTGCTCAGGTCATTGGTCTGAAGAATGCCCTGTCATCTGTAAGTTACATGTCTGCATCCAGGAATGCCTGAGATGTGTCCAGGCTCATGAATGTTTTGTAATTTCTATTTCCATGGTTGTGTTGAAAATCCAGGAGAAAACCAAATTATCCGAATTATATTGTAACCTTTCATCAAATCTGTTTATACACCAAAACTTACCTATCCAATTCTTAATAGCTAGTATTTTATTAAGTGATACCTTCTTTAAGTTTGGTTTCCTCTGACTGATCTAAATTTTTTTGTTTCTCTAACATTTTTATTGTACGTTTTTGTGTGTATGTGTGCATGTCTTACAGACATTTTTCTGTTAATGCTTACAAAATCTGACAGTTTGGAGGAAATTTTATTGGCATGAGACACCACAAGTTTAGCCTTACTTTCCAAATGACAGGTGGCAGAGTGAAATTTCCAGATCATGCTCTTACCTTCTCTATTGCAAAGCACTGATCCTGTTTACTACTCTTTGAAAGACATGAGAGCTATTTTGTTTGATTGGATAGTACAAGGCATTTAGCTTCCCCACCCCGCCCCACCTGCTGTGGCTACAAAGAGATGAGTCACATGAAAGTGCCTGTCAGGCAATCACTATACCTTCATAGTAACAGGAAAATCACTGACATGGTCCCAAATGATTCTCAGCCATTCTGTCACTCATTCTCTCTTTTTTTTTCATCAGTTTCAATTAATTATTCAGAATAGTTAGGCTCCATTAAAGTGCCATGTCCTACCTCGATTTGAATAAAGTTATCTGGAATTTTTTTTTTTACCCTACATCTATTAGGAGGCTAGAGAACTTTTGAAATATCATACTGATTTGGTTTTACTCTTTTTCTGTACTTTGGTATTCCTACTTTAGAAAAAGAAAGAATGTGTGCACATATGAAATCACCATCTGAAGCAATACTGAATTTTCTATTTCAGGTCAGGTAGGGGAGATGAATTTTAGGATCTTGTAACCAGAAGCCAACACAGGCATTGAGAGAACTAGAAAATGTTGATTCATATTTTCTATTCATCGTATTGCTAAGAAAAGTGATGCTTTTGATATAATGTTAGTGATAAATCCTTTGCCAGTAGCACGTATAGTTGTTGTAGAATATGTAAGGAATATTCACTCATGGACCATTCCAAGTATGCTATCTTCAAAAGAAATTAAAAATAACATTGGCTTGCTCCATATATAAAAAGAGTCTTAATGTTGTCTTAAGGTCACAGATAGAATCACCCCCTTTTTATTGTAGCAGACAGCCATACACTGGGTGCCATTTTGGTTTGACAGAAGCAGAAGCAAAGTGTTTTTGGTTTTTTTTTCCTGAGTTTCTTATTGTTCCCATTAAGCTAGCTTTTAGTGTATTTACAAAAGGTACCTCTGATGGGCTTCCAAGGCCCCTTTCCCCGTGATCTTCCTCTCCCTGCTTCCTCCCACAGAAGCCTGGCCTCATCTTGTCAATCTGCCTGTCTGGCCACTGAGACCTATTTGGCTGTGGTATCCCAGGCCAAGGCTGTTCTCACCCTCACTAAGGAATTCATTCTCACCCATATTCATGATTTTGGAAATCTCGGATAAAACTGAATGATCCTTTCTTTCCTTTTTGGCTTGGATTCACAATTGGGTTTAAGACTTGTTTTTTGAAAATAAAACTTTTAGAACCATATAAGAGCTATCAGAATGAGTATGTCGGTGCTGTATGTACAGTGTTGCTATGTTTTCTTCTTCTGCCTGTGGCTTACAAAGGAAAGAAAAACTAATAAAATAGCACAATTTTCAGGCTGTACTAAGATTCTAGCCTCCGTACCACTGACACATTGGCCAGAATAAAGTGAGTACTCCAGAGAGATTGTTACATGTGGTTGTGTGATCTTAGCTCTTGTACAGTGCTTCTTAAGTGGTCCTCAAGGATTTTCAAATAACCCATATGTTCTGCGGGGACTGAAAAATAAAGCCAGCATCCCTGCTGGAGATCCAGGTAGAGGATTAGGCAGTGCCACATCCTTCTGTGCTTTCAGCAGGTCAGTCCTGCAGGCCCTGGTGGATGGAAAAGGCTCAGAGCTTCTTAGAAAAGAGTCAGGAACACAGACACATAGGCTGAATCTGTGTGCAAGCACCCATGGAGCTGATCCTGTGAGTGTCTGGGAAGACAGTCAGGAGAACTTATCCCCTTCCACAGACAGACCATTGGAGAACAGTTGGTCATGAAGTGCACAGGAGTATCAACGTGAAAGAAGTAGCTTCCTTTACCTTTCAGTCACTTTCCTCCTAGTTGAGAGGTTGAGATAAGGAATGGGGCCTGCCTAGGGAAATACAAAGGAGACCTGGGGTAGTCTCAGATGCGCTTTTTATCTCACATTTACCCATTCCCAGAGCCATGGTCCTTAAGCCCTTATGCAGGTAAGTGAGGTTTACTCATTTCTTTTTTGAAATAAATTGCCTTGGTCCTGAAGAATGAATAGAACAATCAATACTCATATTGGAAAAGAATAAAAATCTTTCACAAAGTCCTCCTTCCCAGCACACAGCACACTTTCTTTCTTTCTTTCTTTTTTTTTTTTTTTTTGAGACAGGGTCTCACTCTGTCACCCAGGCCGTGATCTCAGCTCACTGCAACGTCTGTGAGCCTCCCAGGTTCAAGCAATTCTCCCACCTCAGCCTCCCCAGTAGCTGGGACTGCAGGCATGCGCCACTACGCCCAGCTAATTTTTGTATGTTTTGGTAGAGATGGGGTTTCACCATGTTGGCCAGGCTGTTCTCGAACTCCCGACCTCAAGTAATCTGCCTGCCTCCACCTCCCAAAGTGCTGGGATTGCAAGTGTGAGCCACCATGCCCGGCCTCCAGCACACTTTCTAATATCTGATTCAATGGGTATGATAATTAAGTAACATTGAAATATGTCCAATCATAAGGGGTGGGGACAGCGTATTCTTCAAAGCTGATAGAAGCCTGGATTCCTTAGGAAGGGATTTGACCAAAGAGACTCCAGACCACCGGTCTTAACAGAAGCTGACAGTGTCTGTGACTTCCCTCTCTGTCACGCTTACCAACCCTCCTTCCATGTCTGGAATGAGAAAAGAGAAGGAGCATCATTTCCAGAACCTCCAGTTTGTCATCTCCCAGGCATCTCAGAACCAGTATCCTCTTGGAGAGCATTCAAGGAAAAAGTCCAGAAAGTGTGCTCTCAGACCACATCACCTGGAATTTCATCAAGCTCTTAGAGATTGCTCCTGCAGGGCCCACTGCTGTGCTTTTCTGAAACATCCCCATTTATTAACAGAGCCCCACTATTTTAACATGTTCCAGGCCCTAGCACAAAACACAGATCTTAAAGAACGCTTACGCAGAATCCATGCCGAGTCTCTGCTCCTCGACTCCCCCGCTGTTGCCAAGTCGGGTGACAATCTGGCAGAGGTGGGTAGGTTTCTCGTCTGGTAATGTCTCCTCAGCTGCCACCCGCTCCTGTGATACCATCTGTCCAGTTGCACGGCCTCCCTGCTTCCCCTCGTGGGTGCTGTTCACCTCTCTGCCCTCCTCCTCTGGGTGCTGGCCGCAGCTGGCTCATGGACTGGGGTTTCGGGCTCAAACGCTTTCTTGAGCGTATGCTGCTAATTGCATTTTTAAACTGCTCCCTACCCCTGAACTCTTCTTTCTTTTGTATTTCTTCACCCTGTTTCGCTCCTAAATGTCACTCCTTTCACTAAGTGGTACTGGAGTGGGAACTATAGAGAGGGAAACATTTTCTCTTGTTACTACTGAAGAAACCTACATTACTCTGACCTGCAGTATCTTGGTTCCCTGCCAGCCTCCTCCCCCTCTAGCCCTTTCTCTGTGGCTGTTCCCGTCTCCCTTTTCTGCAATTTTATTTTTCTTTTATAGAATGCGGCTGTACACTCTGAGGGAAAAAAATACTTCATTACAATTAAAGTGTCTCTTGGTCAGTTAAAAGTATGTTAAAAAGTTCTTTCCTCAAGACTAGGGATGTTTATCCAAAATAGTCTTTGCATGTTTAAAATGAGAAATTTCAGAAAAGTACAAGTAGGTTACTCAAAAAATAAGTAGGAAGGAGTAATGAAAATAAAAACTGTTTTTAAGCTATTTTTAATATTATATGCCTGCTTCAGATATGCTAAATTTTTATTAAGAAATGAATTAGACTGAGTACACTTAAAATAAAAAATATAAGGCAGGTAATAGACAAGAGGTATGTGTTTATATAAGTTTTTAAAAGAAGTTTGTAATGTTTAATCATAATCCTTCATCCTTCTTTTCCTGTCCTCAGAAAAAAAACAAACCCCTCACACACCTTCACTCCTTGGGAAGCCATTGTGCTGGGTGGTGAGGCGAGTTGAGGCTGAAGTCAGTCAGTATATGGACTGTAGGGCCCCGGGCACCGAACCCATTTGGAGACCATATGGTGCCATGGTGAACAGGCCCATCCGCTCTCATGAGCCTCACCCTCTCTCTGACAGAAGCTCATGGGGCTCTACTACTTCTGAGGCACATGCTAGTGGTTAAGTATGACATTCCTTTATAGAAATGCTACCCCCAAGAGGTCACTTTTCAGATATTTTAGCCCAGACCTAAACTGTCACCTGCAGCATTGAGCACCTAAACATTACTTACGGCGCCTTGACTTTAGGCCTGGGCAGGCCCTCTTTTGAATCTGCACATTTTCTAAAAGCAGGACCCAGTCATGGCCAGGATCAGCCATTACTGACCAGCTGCCACTTACTATGGTATTCTCTGGAGTTTGTGCATGTTTTCAGACAGTTATTTACCTTTTTAATAGTATTATCACAATTTACTTATTGAACAGGTAATTAAATATACAACCTTCATTTATTCTGTTATGAATTTATGCTTGGCATGTCTACTTGGAACTGTTTGTGTTTTGGAAAGGAAACCAAAATCACAAGTCTTTTAAAATACATGTTTTTAAACTATATATTTAAAATGCATATTTTAAAACTGATCTTAAAAGTAACATACCTGAAAGCTGAAATGCTGTACACTGTCCTTGAGAGGTAACAATAACATTCTTCAAACGTACACCTTCCAAAACAGCCTTCTTGAGTCTAGATGCAGTTGTCATCTGTATCTATTTCCTCTTTCAGAAATTTTCTGTTTCCCTTATTTTTATCCCTTTTATCATGGAGTGACTCAGGCTAACTTTCCCAGCAAAGGTAAAGTTATTGTTGCCTTCAGGACATAAGTAGGAAAGTAAGTGAAAATGGCCTCCCAGACTGAAAACTTGACTCCAGTTAACTTTTTTTCAGTAACTCTGTTACCTCTGATACTCTATTGGGAAATGACAGTCTCCAACAATGGGGTCAGCCCAAGGTGCTCTCTTTTTAGAACTCTCACTTTCTTTGCTCACTTTGTTACCTTTTCTTTAGCCGCATATATTACCCATCTTTGGTGTTGGGCCTGGCTAATTGAATTCTAAAATGCCCACCTTTTTAAAAATCAAATTACTCCACAACCTCCAAATTTCTGCTTTATATTCCTGAATGTGAAGATTTAATATTATCAAGTTATCAGTTCTCAGATTATTTTAGATTCCAAATGAAAGGGCAAGTGACTTTGGGAGGTAACACCATACTATATCCAATGTCCATTTAAGAGACTAAAAAAGGCCAAAACTTTTAAAGAAAAGTCTGAAAGAGAAGGGAACTTAATTCTTTTAATTGTCTGCTTGCTGTATCAGTATGCACTTGAATGCATTACCTCACAGAGTCCTAACCATGACTCTGTGAGGTGGGTGGTGGTGGTTTCATTTGAGAAACAACAGAACTAAAACTCAGAGAGGTTAAATAACTTCCTCCAGACACACAGCTTGTAACAGACAGAGCAGGGATTTAAATTCACATCTAATGAGGCCAAAGCAATTCCTTTCTCAATAGTATACACTGCTAGATAATGAAGAACAGTATGCCAAGCCAGAAAATAAAATACTCATTGAAGCTCCGGCAGTTAAAATAAGGTGATGATGGGTAAGAATGGGACGGAGTAACTCTCTTAGGCATAAACATTATTTTGTATATAAAAGAAATAAAGATTATGGTTCGAAAAGGCATCAAAAACCAATGGCAAAGAGATGGATTATTTAATAAATTAGGTTGGCACAGCTCAAAGAAGTTTATTACATTATTATTATTAATTACCATTATTTTGGAGTTGCCCAGCCTGACCTTGAACTCTTGGACTCAAGCAATCCTCCTGCCTTGGCCTCCCAAGTAGCTGGGATTATAGGCACTCACCACCCACCATGCCCTGCTCAAAGCAATTTAAAAAGAAGTTTAAATCTTCATTGCATGCTGAAATGAATCAAAAGCAAATTCAAGTTAAATATAAAAATTCAAACTGAAAAATATTAATGTAAATATCAAACTGCTAGAATAGAGATTTTCTAAATTGGAGTACAATAGAAAAAAATTGCAAAAGAAATGTTGATTAGATCTGACTCTCTTTTAGGAAAAAGTAATGTGTGTCAAAAAAAGGACAAATAATAGACTGGGAAAAATATTTTCAGTGAAATTGACAGACTGAGATAATGCTAAATCAGTGATAATGTTTTTCATATGTAACCAGTGAACAAATAATATCAAGTAACTTAAAACTTTAATAAGTAAATGGAAAAAGGCCATAATTCTCTGTCTCTCTCTCTGTCTCACACACACACACGCACACACACAGAGGTGGGGAGAGAGAGAGAGAGAGAGGGAGATAGGTATGGGTTTTCTTTTTTTTTTTTTTTTTTTTTTTTTTTTTTTTTTTTTTTTTTTTACTTATTTTGCAATATTTGTAAATTCACAGGGAAGTACGAAGAAATGCAGAGGGAGGTCCCATGAACCCTTCATCCAGCCTCTCCCTACCTTAACATCTCTACAAGCTTGTTTTTTAAAAAGGAGTAACTATTCAGCTTAATGAAAATTAAAACAGATTAGCTCAAAAGTTTTCTAAATTATGGTATGTAGTGCCTTTAATATAGAAAAAACAGAGGTTTCCTTACTTGTTGATGTGATTAGGTAATATATATTTTGCCTTAAAGGTTATTAATAATTCTACTTCCAAAACTTGATTCTAAGAAATAACATGATACAAGCAAAGATATATTTACAAACATACTAAACCATTTTTGCAAATCTGTAAACATCCCTGATTTTATTACTCTGTGACACAAATATATAATAAAATATTTATCAATTAAAGTTCATTGTCTCAAAGAATTTTGAATGGTCTGGTCAATGTTCACAATATAATGGTTAGTGAATGAAGCAAACAATATGTAGACTGTCTATCCCAGTTTTTCAAAATAAAATTTGTACACAAATATTTTAATATGAAAATACCAGCAAGTTAATAGGGGCCACATCCACTCTCACATTCATACAATGGGACTTGAAGTGATATTTAGTTGCATTTTTAAATTTTCTATTTTGAATACCTATTTTTGTTTTCAGAATGCATTTTAATTTTGAAAAAATCTATCTTGCAATGTTGTTTGGGCGAACTTTATAAAATTACATATATAGAGATATGAAAATAGCATGATTATTTCACAAGAAAAATGTGTCAAAATGCTTGTAGTGGTTGTTACAGTGTGAACTGTGAATGTTCCTTTCCCTCCCTTCTCTCTATTTAACTTAGGGGTGTTCAATCTTTTGGCTTCTCTAGGCCACATTGGAAGAAGAAGAATTGTCGTGGGCTACACATAAGATACACTAACACTAACAATAGCTGATGAGCCAGGAAAAAAAATCACAAAAAAATCTCATAATGTTTTAACAAAGTTTACAAATTTGTGTTGGGCCACATTCAAAGCCGTCCTGGGCCGTATGTGGCCCCCGGGCTATGGGTTGGACATCCTTGGTTTAACTTTTTGTAATGTAAGCAATAGATAAGCAACCAGTCATGCATTACATATGTGAAAGGAAATTATTGAATTGAACTGACTGGGTTAATATTTTAACAAATGAGGTCCTGAGTTGTTTAAGACACCAAGCTGGAGACTTGGAGCTGCAGCAGTGCTGATGAGTTTTCAGTACATACAAGAAGACACCAGAAAGTGCTAGGGGCTAGGAGTATTATTTTCAGTGTTGGTCAGCCAGGAAATCCTTCGAACCCATCAGTCTAGGAGGAGGAAGATACAGAGAGAGCAGGAATGACTAGTAATAAATTAATGAGTAGAACTAGTAAATAAATCATGAGCATCTCTTGTGACAGGAGCACACAGAAGACACAGGACAATTCTGTTGTTTGAGTGAGTGTTACAGAAGCTGTTGTTCCTTATGATGTTTTCAAACTCGATGCTTTATGCCTGGCTCTTTTGAGGAGAGAGACCTTTTCCTTGAAGTTAACAGCTATGATACTTACAGATTCTAAAGTGATCTCTTTGTTAGGGTAGAGAAGAGGCTAGGTTTTCAGAAGGCTACATGGGTATTAAAATGGGTAGGATCATTAATACTTTGGGCAGATGCCTTATTTAGGAACGGGATATATATTTCAACAGTTTGTAGATACATATTCACAAACAGAAGCAACCAATTTGTAAAGGGACCACTTGCCTTTTATTACGAAAATCTGCTATGGCCCTCCTGTCGTAGCATCCCCTCCCTATGAGACTGAGGGGTGTGTCCTGAATTCAGACAATTTCTGGGCAAGATATAATCTGCCTTTCCCCCAGATTATTCTGGATGATATGGAAGCAACTCCTTTGTTATCCCAATAAAACATGTGAGTGGTTTTACTACTACCTGTCTACTCTGATTGAAAGAAATCAAATCATCCTGTCCTGAATCTGTTCTTTTTCCTCAAGTGCCACCTCTGTGAAGCCCTCCCCAAACAAAATCTCCCTAATTAGAATCAATCTCTCCACTTTGCCAGCACTTTGTCTATTCCACAGGCCTGGTCTGATATGTGTTGGATGCATTTTCTCACCACTCATTCAGTCCACAAACGTTGTCTGGTTCATTGTTATATCCTGCCATGGCCAGCTCAGGACTTTAGTCCTCCCCAGAGGGAAAGTCCAGACCCAGTGGAGTGGAGAATAGAGGGTCATGTGAGATGAGAAAACAATGATATTCTGTTGTGTTATTTGTACAGAGGCTTATAAAGAGGACTGGGGACTTCCTTTCCTTGCAGAGTCATTGTGGGTGGAAAGAGACAGACAAAGAGAACTTATATCATTCATCCATGAATAATAAATTATCTGCTACCAGGGTGCTTCTGGACCAAAACACACTGTGTATTTGTCAAGGGACACCTTGACAAAAGCCAAAGCAGCATATTGTTCCTTCAGAGAGCATAGAGGCAGAAGAAGGCAATGTTGCTGTGAACCAGCCATGCAAGGACATGCATTCAGTGCAATGCAGAGGAGATTTTAGTATAAAAAGAAACATCCAGCAGTGGTAGCAAATAAGAGGATATGATTCAGAGAGCATTGGAATTTTTCCCTTTTTAAATGGAACAAAGAGTGACCTGGACAGTTGTTTTTTGCCTTGTGATTTGTTGCATGTGTGTGAGAAGTGATAGTGCCTGTAAGTGAGGTGCCCATATTGGGGGAGAACTTTGTGTTTTGCATGAGGCTCACTTCTCAGTGTTGGAGCTGACCTCTGCTTTGAGTTGCTTATTTGCATGGGCCTGTGACCTTGTGTATTGTGCAACTAAATTACTTATTTTCTTTCTCTTGAGAATGTTTCTAAATGTATACATTTTTGGTTTTGTTTTTCAAATAGGAAAACTCCCGAGATGAAAACCGAGCTCTAGTTCATCAGCTTTCTAATGAAAGTAGACTCTCCATCACTGACTCCCTTTCCGAGTTTTTTGATGCTCAGGAAGTTCTGTTATCTCCAAGCTCTTCAGAAAATGAGGTTTGAGCAATGTTTACAGTTAGGTGCCTCAAAAATCTCTCTTGTTGCTTTGCTGGTTAATTTGTTCAGTAAACAGTCCATAATCAGAAACACTAAACTCAGTGGCCCTTTTTAGTCATTGTATTCTGAGAGTTCTATCATAACTCATACCCAAAAATGATACTGTATGTGAGAAGAAAAAGTAAAAGTAGAGAGCATTGGATATTTTCTCATTTCTGTAACTTGATGTGTTAAATTTGTTATACTTTTTTTCTTTTTTAAACGGAGCCTTGTTCTGTTGCCCAGGCTGAAGTGCAGTGACGCAATCTCAGCTCACTGCAACCTCCGCCTCCCGGGTTCAAGTGATTCTCCAGCCTCAGCCTCCCAAGTAGCTGGGACTACAGGCATGCACCACTGCGTCTGGCTAATTTTTGTATTTTTAGTAGAGACTGGGGTTTCACCATGTTGGCCAGGCTGGTCTCAAACGCATAATCCTAACCTCAGGTGATCCGCCTGCCTCAGCCTCCGAAAGTGCTGGGATTACAGGTGTGAGCCACTGTGCTTGGCCTCTTTTTTTTTTTTTTTTTTTTTTTTTTTGAGACACAGTCTCACTCTGTTAGCCAGGCTGGAGTGCAGTGGTGTGATCTCTGCTCACTGCAACCTCTGCTTCCCAGGTTCAAGCAATTCTCGCACTTCAGCCGCCCAAGTAGCTGGGGATACAGGCGTGCACCCCATGCCCAGCCAATTTTTGTATTTTTAGTAGAGACAGGCTTCCTCATATTGTCCAGGCTGGCCTCGAACTCCTAGCCTTAAGTGATCCACCCGCCTCAGCCTCTCGAAGTGCTATATTTCTTTTCAAGTACAGGTTAATAATTTTGACTTCTACCTATTTAATAATGTAATATGTCTACTGCAGAGAAGGAAATTAGCATCCTGTATGTTTCTTAATCATGAAATTTAACCTACATTGATTTATAATATATAATAATTATATTTTTTTCATAATGTGGTTATTGTAATATTGGTTTATAGCATTATTTGTTTTAAATTGATGCATAACAATTATACTTTCCTGAATAGCAGTTATTATAGTATTATAGTTAATATTGTTTTGTGTCAGTGTGTACTAGTAATGTTACCCCTTAAATATAGACATAGTCATCTTGTTTATGTATTAATTCCCATAGAAGATACTTTTTACACAAATAGCTCAAAGACAAATTGTAACTCCTTCTACTCAAACACTAATAAATTCTAAAAATACAGTCAGAATTAATAAGAATCTTTGTAATAACAGTCTTGAGCTTGCTTGCTGTTTTTCTTGTGAGAACTAATTCAGAATGTATAAGAATTTTAAGAACAGGTATTTGTTGTGAACACCTCCTTGGCAGATTGGTATATGGACCTTTATGAAAACAGTACCTAAGAGTATTTATAGTGTGGGACTCATCATGTTTGATCATTTGGAGTAAGGGTTTTATGAAAATCTGGCTCTTGTTTATTCTAACTCTAATGAATGTTATTTCTTCTTTCCCATAGATTTCTGATGATGACTCATACGTCAGTGACATAAGTGATAATCTTTCCTTAGATAATCTCAGTAATGATTTAGATAATGAGAGACAGACCTTGGGTAAGATTTACATTATTTAATCTCTGAAATGTTTGGATTTTCATAGAATACTAATATGTTGTATAGTTAACTCTTGAACAATATGGGGGTTCAGGGGTATATGCTGATACCCCACACAGATGAAAATCCATGTATAACTTTTGACTCCCCGAAGATTTAACTACTAACACTCAATTAACACATATTTTGTGTGTTATGTGTATTTGAGACTGTACTCTTACAATAAAGTAAGCTAGAGGAAAAAAATGTTATTTAGAAAGTCATTAGGAACAGAAAAGATATTTACAGTTCATTAAGGGGATCATCATAAAGGTCATCATCCTGGTCATCTTCATGTTGAGTAGGCTGAAGAGGAGGAAGAAGAGAAGGGGTTGGTCTTGCCTTCTCAGGGGTGGCAGAGGCAGAAGAACACCTGTATACAAGTGGACTGATGCAGTTCAAATCTGTGTTGTTCAAGGGTGAACGGTGTAGAGGACCTGCTACAAGCAAAGAGCTCTAGCAAGTACTATGTAAGAAAACTAAGACATGGACCCCACCCCCTAGGATTTTATAATCTAGGAGAGGAGACAGCACCCACATGTGAAAGATGTATTAATTCAAATAAATTTGTCTGCTTGTACAAATTTTTATTTTTATAAAGTGAATGTATGCCAATTATATGAATATAAAAAACGTAACAGATACCTTTTTTTTTTTTGAGACGGAGTCTCGCTCTGTCACCCAGGCTGGAGAGTACAATGGCACGATCTTGGCTCACTGCCACCTCTGCCTCCCGGGTTAAAGCGATTCTCCTGCCTCAGCCTCCGGAGTAACTGGAGAATACAGGCACGCACCACCATACCTAGCTAATTTTTGTATTTTTTGGTGGAGATGAGGTTTTACCATGTTACTCAGGCTGGTCCCGAACTGCTGATCTCAAGTGATCTGCTTGCCTCGGCCTCCCAGACTGCTGGGATTACAGGCGTGAGTCACCGTGCCTGGCCCAGATATCCCTTTTGCAGTCTAATGTTCTCTCTGTGAACATGTTAGAATATGATTTTTTTGCCCTTAGATATCAGGGAGGTTTTATAATTTAGGAATGTGATAGGACTTATATAATAAAAGATATTATCCAAGTCGTCATTTAGCTTCAGATTCTTCAAAACAACACATTTGAAAGTAACAAATGGCTACCTCTTGGACGGACCCCTCAGGGTATCCTAAGATGACCCTTTATTACTGCTTGATCCCAAGAAGGGAAATGATGGGCAGGAAAGATATTTCATAATGCTAGTTCGAACTGTGGAATATCTGGAGTGTCTGGCTAGCCCCCTAAACAGCTCTGATTTAGGACTTCAGTAAGCAGACTGGCCTGTTTAGGAAGGTGCACTTAAAAAGAATCTGCCCACCTGGACAGTTCGCTGTGTGGGTCCTTGTAGCATCAAACACTTACCAGTGTTGGTACTCAGTTTGCCTTGGAGTCTCTAGGTTTGTCTGCACTATGCATTGGATACTCAAAGCACCACCTATTTTCATATCTACACGGAGGAGAGGGACCATGCCAGGCACCTTTTTGATATTTCAGTGTTCTTCAATTCATTGTGTATGTGTGAACTGATGAATTGTTATCTGAATGCTTAAGAGCCACCTTTTGGGGGACCGCAGTATAGGGGAAGAAAGCAGGTAGTTTTACCATGCTTTGGAAGAGTATCCTTTCGGTATCACACCTGCTAGAAGTGAGATGCTCATCATGGTTGGTGTTTTGTTTGAAATGTTTCTTGGAAGATGAACCCCTTAGTGGAAAAGTCTAAGAACCAGTGGGTTGGAAGAAGAAGGCCAAAAACACCGGAGCAAATTTGTGTGCTACTTATTTTTCTAGAAAAACAAGGAGGCAAGTTGAAAGAGAAATGAAGAAACATCACTCCCTTGGCAAACAGCACGCACACTAAAGTGGTGCTCCCACCGTAGATGAGGAGGATTGACAAATGTGGAAGCCCTCCATTTCTTTGAGTCTTCTAGAGAGGGAGCCATAGGGAGTACAGAGTTAATGGAGTGTTCAGAGGTCAAAGATAAAGAGAGGACATGGTTCAGAACCTAAGACCACAGCTATGCTGTGTTGACACCAGCCAGGAAAAGCTTAGAAGTTAGAGCTGGTTCTATCGTGCTCTACAGCCATGTTGCTAGAATGCTAACTAACATTGCCTTTTTGTGTGTGTGAAGACAGATTCTCACTCTGTCACCCAGGCTGGAGTGCAGTGGTGCGATCTCGGTTTACTGCAACCTCTGTCTCCCGGGTTCAAGCAATTCTCGTGCCTCAGCATCCCGAGTAGCTAGAATTACAGGCACACACCATCATGCCCAGTTAATTTTTTTGTATTTTAATAGAAATAGGGTTTCACCATGTTGGCCAGGCTGGTCTTGAACTCCTGGCCTCAAGTAATCCACCCGCCTCAGCCTCTGAAATTGCTGGAATTACAGGTGTGAGCCACCATGCCTGGCCTACATTGCCTTTCTTGAACAAGCACTGGGCAAAACCCAGCTTTCTTCTTTGTCAGTGTTTGAATACTAGAAATGTGTGTCCCCCAGTTCTTTACAGACATTCCCAGGGTTTGGGGGAGATTATATTTCTAAGCATCAATACTCTACTGAAAAGATTGGATACAGAAATAACCTTTACATTTCATAGCATCATTTTGCCTACGTTAGGACCAAGGTCTTGATACACTATTATTGTTTGAGTTTATAGTAAACATGAGATTTTTAGACTATTTCCTATAAATTTCTTCCCCACAATGCTGCTGGGCACATATTAGGATCTGTCTCTATGCTGGGTACTTTGGGGAAGTTAAGTGGTTAAGAATGTGGATTAAGGGACCAGACTTCCTTGGTTAGCCCCAGCTCTGCCACTCAGTGGTTGTGTGTTCTGGGACCAGATACTTACTTCCTCTATGCCTTATTTTCTTCATCTGTGAAATGGGGATAATAATACTGTTTACCACAAGTGGTAGTTACAAAGGATAAGTGGGAATAATGCATGTAAAATGCTTAGAAGACTGCCTGTCACAGAATAAAATGCCAGATACGTGTTAGCTGTTAGTAGTATTGGTGGTTATGATGGTGGTGGAATAACACTCTTTCAAAATTTAGATTAGTGTAATCAAAGAAAATTTTTTGAGACTACATGAAAAACTGTTTTCAAAAATGACTGTAGGCAAGGCACAGTGGCTCACACCTATAATCCCAACACTTTGGGAGGCTGAGGCAGGAGGATTGCTTTAGGCCAGGAGTTTGAGACCAGCCTACGCAACATAGCAAGATCCTATCTCTAAAAAAAGATACAAAAACTAGCCAGGAGTGATGTAGCATGTCTGTAGTCTAAGCTACTCAGGAGACTGACGTGGCACGATTGTTTAGGCCCAGGAGGTCAAGGTTACAGTGAGCTATGATCACACCACTGCACTTCGGCCTGAGTGAGCCTGTTGAGAAGGACCCTATCTCAATAATTAATTAATTAATTTTAAAACTACCATTTGCAGCTATTTACCTATGTTGTATTTACCCGTATTAAGCAACTAAAACAGGCTGGGCATGGTGGCTCACGCCTGTAATCCCAGGACTTTGGAGGCTGAGGTGGGTGGATCACTTGAGCTCAGGAGTTTGAGATCAGCCTTGGCAACATAGTAAAATCTCGTATCTACAAAAATACAAAAAATTAGCCAGGCATGTTGGCATGTGTCTGTGGTCCCAGCTACTTGGGAGGCTGAGGCAGGAAGATTGCTTGAGCTGGTGAGGCAGAGGTTGCAGTGAGTTGAGATTATGCCACTGTACTCCAGCCTGGGCAACAGACCAAAACCCTGTCTCAAAAAACATTTAATTTAATTTTAAAAAAGCAAAACAAATTCAAAAGCTAATTGGATGATTAGATTAACATGAAATGCACAGTGTGGCCCTGTTTTCATGTGTTTCTGTTCATCAGAGCAGCCCCTTTATTCAGTGATTGGCTTTATAATTAGTAAATGTTAAATATGTATGTTTAATAAAATATATATCAATAAAGTATGTTTATTGATATATAAATAAAAAACAAAATGCAAGAGATTTCATTTGAAAATAGGTACAATGGAGGATAGGAAATTCAGTGCATGAAACGAAGGAAAAGATTGATAGATTGACATACCTAAAATGGGTGTCATTCATCAAAATACTCCATGGAGCAAATTTAAAGGTAAATGCCAAGTGGGGATTAAATTGTAAAACAAATATAAAAACAAAAGAGTATGGTCTTAATACATAAATAGGAAGGCAGGCAATTCAGCAAAGCAAAAGTGCCCGTGAAAGCACTCCGAACCACACAGGAAATCTTTTAAATGTAAGCTAAAACAAGGAGGTTACACCGTCCACCTGACCATCTGACAGAAATTAAAAATGAAAATGACAAGCCTCAAGAGTCCTCAGGAGATGGATGCTCACATCTGCTGCTGATAAATGGGGAAGTTGGGGGCAGCCTTTTTGAAAAGCAGTCTGATTATGTGAATCAAAAGTCTTAACAACATTCAGAGTTATTGACAGAGTAATCCCACTTCTTTGTATCCTAAGAAAATAATCAAAGATACAGGCAAAAAATATTTTTACCGTCATTAAAAATGATGTTAAAAGAAAACTCTTAGGTTCCGGGGTACATGTGCAGGTTTGTTATGCAGGTAAGCTGCATATCACGGTGGTTTACTCTACAGATTATGTCATCACCAAGGTCATAAGCATAGCACCCAAATAGGTAGGTTTTTGATCCTCACCCTCTATCCACCCTCCACCCACCCTCCACATTCCAGCAGGCCCTGGTGTCTATGGTTCCCTTCTTTATTCATGTGAACCAATGTTTAACACCCCTTAACAAGTGAGAACATGCATTTGGTTTTCTCTTCCTGTGTTAGTTTGCTTAGGATAACGGCCTCCAGCTCCATCTATGTTGCTGCAAAGAATATGATCCCATTCTTTTTTATGGCTGCACAATATTCCATGGTGTATATGTACCACATTTTCTTTACCTAGTCTACTGTTGATGGACATTGAAACTGATTCCATGTCTTTGCTGTTGGGAATAGTGCTGTGATGAACATACACGTGCATGTGTCTTTATGGTAGAACAATATATGTTCCTTTGGGTATATAGTCGGTAATGGGATTGCTGAGTTGAATGGCAGTTCTGTTTTAAGTTCTTTGAGAAATCGCCAAACTGCTTTCCACAATGACTGAGCTAACTTACATTCCCACCAGTAGCGTATAAGTGTTCCCTTTTCTCTGCAACCTCACCAGCATGTTATTTTTTGACTTTTTAATAATTGCCATTCTGACTGATATGAGATGATATTTCATTGTGGTTTTGATTTGCATTTCCCTAATGATTAGTGATATTGAGCAAAAACTGATGTTTTAGAAAAATTTTAAATAATATGGAAAAATACTCTGTTAGCTGAACAAGCAGAATATAAAATATGCTTACAGTATGAACAACACAGATGGAGAAAACATGAAATGAAGATACTCTAATATATAAATGGCTGCTATTTTGGGATGGTGGAGCAATGAAATGACCATTATTTCCTGTATTACTTTCCTGTAATAAACACAATTATTTTACCAGAATTTAAAGTGATTTTTTAAAAGCTTTTCAAGTTTTTATAAACAGTAAGCAGCTATAGGCATAGAAATCCAATTTCCAGTTTTATTCTAAGTGTGTATGAGCTACGAGGAACTAGATTTTGAGGAGCAATTCAAGGTCTTCCCTGTGAATAAAGTCGATGGGTTTTAGTGTGTGTCAGTTTGAGTATTTAATTGCTCAGAATTCTTTTGCCGATTTTCATACTCTGGACAACTGAGTTTAATAGTAACATTGAGTACTTGCTAGGTAAGGTTTTTTTCGTGGATTAAAAATAATAGAATAAAATGAAAAGCTTTATAGAGACAACCAGGCCTCTTTCCTTTTCAGGGCCTGTCCTTGAAAGTGGTGGGGAAGCAAAGTCCCGGAGAAGAACGTGCCTGCCGGCACCCTGCCCGAGCAGCAGTAACATCAGCCTGTGGAACATCCTGAGGAACAACATCGGGAAGGACCTGTCCAAGGTGGCCATGCCGGTGGAACTGAACGAGCCCCTGAACACACTGCAGAGGCTCTGCGAGGAGCTGGAGTACAGCGAGCTCCTGGACAAGGCCGCGCAGATTCCCAACCCCCTGGAAAGAATGGTGAGGAGTCAGCCTTCCCTTGTCACTGTCCAGCCTCAATCCCCGAGCCACGAGGCCATTCACGGGGCCCATCAGAGAGACAGCCCCTGTTCCCTCCGGTTTCATTTTGATTGTTCTATAGACAGGTTCATTACTCAGAGCTGTCTGGCTTCCTCCGCCTGGCTGTTTCCAGTCACCTTGTCAGGATTTGGAGACAGGGTTGGGGTGCTTCTCTGTGGCACTCGGTGCCTGGGGTAGTTCTGTTCTGTGGGTTCGTGCTTCCTCTTTCTCCAGAAGCCTTCTAGCTGATTATTCCAATGTGCCCGGCTGGAAAACATGTCTTTAGGGCTGTCTGCATGTTTATTTTCACTTCCCTGGGTGGATAGAATTTAATTTCTCGAGCTGTTTTTCTCATCCAGTGTAAGTTTCCCCTGAGAATGTTTGTTTTTATTTCTGGAATTGTCCCATCGGCTCCTCGGTTTTTGGAAAATAAAGTTCACTAGAGGAGGTTTTCACATCAGAAATATTCTTTTTTTCTCTCTCCCTCTTATTTTATAGAGTACTTAAAAAAAAATCTTAGAAAAGCCCATCTTCTCTACTCGGCATCAGCTCCAGTCACAGCATGCTGGCTTTTAAAAGGGCTTCCAAGTATTTCTCATCTTTCCCCCGTCTCATGGGTAGGGAGATTGGGAATGGAGTACTCAAAGGGCAAGACTCGGGCAGATCAGCCTTCTCTATGACTGTGACTGACTTTGTTCTTGAACGTGGGTGTCTGTACCTCTTTTTGCTTCTTCATATTCAGTGCCCTTAGAGCAGTAAGGTCATTGTCTCTATGGGATGCTGGGACATCAGTGTCCCCCAAATGCAGAGTCTCTCTCCTGGGCGTTTGCCAGTTGGCTACATTGGAATTGGAGTACCCCCTCGGCTTCACAGACCTAGCCCTGCCGACACCCCCCATTGATGGAGGATGCTATTCTTTTCTACATTCTAAGCATTCTGCAGTCTTAGCGCTTATTAAATAAAACATTATTACTTCTATGATTTGAAGATTAAGGGGAAATCTTACCTGCTGTCTGAGAGGGATATCCCATCGTCATTCTGCCCAGTCTCCAGGGCCTCCCCTATCAAAGAGACTTCCTTTTTTTGAGTCAGGGTCTTTGTCGCCCAGGCTGGATTACAGTGGTGCAGTCCTACCTCACTGCAACCTGGAACTCCTAGGCCCAAGCAACCCTCCTGCCCTGGCGCCCAAAGTGCCGGGATTACAGGCATGAGTCACTGTACTTGGCCCAAAGGACTTTCTTTCTTGTTACTGATAATCAGGGTAGGAGACAAAAACAAGCTGTATTTTTTAAACTGTTCTTGGTTACTTGTCCCCAGATAATTTTTGCTGAATAAAAGGAAGGCAAAGCTTCTAGAAATAGCTTCTAAGGCAAGTGTTAAAAGTCAGCATTTGTGGGCAGCTCTTTTCTTTAAAGGAAATGATTGGCTTTGAGGGTGAAAGTTTCTTAAAGATGTTTCATCCTGTGGCAATTTAGAGACCCTTAGGATATTCAGATGATTGATTGGTGTAATTGCCCTTGAGCAGAGGTTTGAGGAGAGGCTTCTCATCCCCAGCATAACCACTAAGCAGGAGTCTTATTGCATGGGTTTTGTTTACTAACCTGCAGGTCTGCTTATGCCCCTGCCTGGACTCTCCCTCGTGCTGCCAACCCATAGGGAGAGTGCTTCCTTCTGCCTCCCCTTCGGTCTCTCTTCCCCACAGCATCATGCATGGCACTAGGTTCTTTCATCGGTTGTGTTCTATTTTACATGGTGAAGGTGACTAAGGGTTGATTCAGCATTCCATACACGGTGTGGCTGTACTGTTTCACAGGTTACCAATGTGGAGAAGCAGGGAGAGGAACACACACCCAGGTTTCAAGAACGCAGGCAGTCACAAGTAGGACTGACTTGAGTGTAGTTGATTTTTTCTTCTTTTTTTTTGAGACAGAGTCTCTCTCTGTCACCAGGCTAGAGTGCAGTGGCACAATCTCGGCTCACTGCAGCCTCTACCTCCCAGATTCAAGTAATTCTCCTACCTAAGCCTCCTGAGTAGCTGGGATGACAGGTGCGTGCCACCACATCCGGCTTGTTTTTGTATCTTTAGTAGTGATGGGTTTTTTTTTTTTTTTTTTT